AAAAAAAAAAAAAAAAAAAAAAGAAAAAGAAAAAAAGAAAAAAATAGTCTATCCATGGAAATTATCCGTGTGTGTATCTTATATATTCGCCGATGTGTGCGTGGCAATGATGATAGATTTTGCAACGGTTTTAACGGTTTAAGTTATATTAGCTGAACAACGTAAACCACGTTGTCTCGAAGTTATTATACCACGTTCGCTAGATTATTGTAAATTAATGATCGAAAGACAAAATTATCCCTATAAATTAGAGGATGATAATCACGCGCGTGATTATTCCTTTTTTATTTTTTAATTAATATTAATATTAATTAATTATTATGATTAAAGAAAAAGAGTGTAAAAGAGTGTAAAGACCAAAAAAGTCAAAACCAGTAAACAAACAAATCTCTCAGCAACCGCAAATCAATTATCATATCACTTCACGTCAACCTCATCAATAAAGAAGAAACAAAAAAAAACACAACCAAAAAAATACTAGTAATAGGTACTAGAAGAAGAGGCCGATCCTCGGAAGTCGACATTTTGACAGTTTTTGTAGAAATAATATATCGTGGGTACTCATGGCTTCTGATTGTACGTGTGCCGCGTTCTTTCTTTCTTTGTCTCTTTCTTTCTTTCTTTCTCTCTCCCTCCCTCACACTTTCATCGATTGCAAATATTTTCTCTGCCCCTTCCTTTTTTTTTTCTCTCTCTGTTTCACTTTTTCTCGTACACGTATGTGTGTGTGTGTATATATATATATATATTCATATAGATTTTTTTTTTACTTTTCGTTTCAGGTCTCTCTGACTTTTTTTTTCTGTCTATCCATATTCGTCTCTTTCTTTTTTTTTTTTTTTTTTTTTTTTTTTTGTTATTTTTCTAATATATTTGCGCTCCTTAGAACGGCCCATGGCGCTCTCAAGGATCTCGAAAAGGGAATTTCTCGGCTTGCTCCCTTACGCGCGTGTGTGTGTCAGGATGCTGAAACGTTATATATAGTCTGCCTTTAACAAAATATTCACAAAATAAATGAAACTGGA